ATCACTGAGCTCTAAAATGATCCGCTGTCAATCTTGTTGAACGTGTATTTAGAGGAAAGGTCCACACTGAACAGATTTAAGTCATGTTATTCCTTAGCCTTAGTGTGCTTAACAGCCATGAATAAATCCCTGCCAAAGAAAACACCAAAAGAACCAGTGGGGGCACATATGAAGTGTGTTGCTCATTGCCAACTGGTGAAGAGTGGCTGTGAATGGTGTGAAAATGTGGGGCTATTATAATAAATGGAACAGTGACAGTAAAAAGTTGTGACAGTAAGCCAGTCTTCCCGTGTGCGCTGGGGTGACAGCAAGGGCTTTGACAGTTGTGACAGTAAGAGCACTTGTAAGGGAACGCCCTCTATGCTAATGCTATTTGCTAAGTCAGAGGCGGTGTAAAATGGAGTCAAGGGACACCAGCTGCCTCCCAGTGATATGAGACGATGCAGCATGAACCTATTCTTGCCTTAGGGATGAAAGTATTTTGGTGGGTACAACCGTAAAGGTGATAATATTTGTAGTAGTGTGCCCCTTTCTGTGGAAATAAAAGCCCACTTTCACATCCACCTCCTTTTCTTATTCACTCCTTCTCCTTCTATTCCTGCCCTCATCACTTACACTAACTTTTTCACCTTCCTTTCTCTTGCCCTGTCCATCATCTCATGCCCTCTCCTCTCACCCTGCTCCTTTTACTGCTGCCTCTCCCTCGAGCGGGGTGCATGGCCTATTGCCATAGTAACAGACAGCCATGACAGGTGGAGATAGCAGGTAGTGCGGCGATGCATGACTCCCCCTGGGACTGCAGAATGCCAACACTATAGAATGAGAATAAACAGAACACGCTCCTTACACAAAGTCACCCTGCGCACAGGGTGTACATTCAATTCATTGAATCATAAGAGGGGTCCATGCCTTATCTGTATTCTACACACGCAGCAAAGCCACACTGCCATTGTTTCACTGTGCGGCTGGACAGAGGGAAAAGAGGAGTTCAATGGATTTAAGCATGTTGTGTGTTTCTACTTCATCGCTCTCTATGGCCAGATCTGAACCAGGCCAAGCCAAGCCAGTATGTTTTATGTCAGTGAGGGACTGGATTCTACACTAACAAGGTCCTACAATTTCTCTGCCATGGGCTGCAGAAAAACAGTTTTCTCTCTAATGTGTAACTGAATTCATTCAGTCTCGAGGATGGGAAATTGCACGCTGATCTTTCTATGTCTCTCTCAAGCACACGTACACACACAGAGCAACTTATATACATGCACATGCACAAATCATTTTGCTCACACACCCATATACTAAGATACATTAAATGACATCCGTCTCCAACATGCACAGACACTGTGTTCAGCACTGCACCCCCCACCCCCCATGCCTGCAATAGTCTGTGAGGTATTTCTCCCACACTTGACCACTGCAGTAGTTGAACACGTGGAGGAGTTAGACAAAAGCTAGAGTTTTCTGAGTTGGATGCAAAAGACACATGTTTCTTTAGTATGGAAAGCAACTTCTGAGCATCACTAGGAAGTTATCTTAGGATTTCAGACTTGTAGTAAAGGGGAGGAGCAAACAAGCAATATCCCTTTATTAGTGAGATGCCATCTCACCTCCTGCTTTAGTGGCTGCATGGGCATTTGCCATGCGGAGAGAGTGATGAGAGAAAGCCACATCAGAGAAAGGAAGAAACAAAGACAGACAGTTAGACAGTTTCGGAAATACTATACCCTTCCAAGACTCACCATGAGCAAGCACACGGCTGATTCAGGCATGAGTTGGACAGCCATGATGGGATCCCTCTATAGATTCTTGTGAAAAGGGAACGTCGCTAATTTCCTTGGGGGACTCTCTTCGTTATCCTCTTCCTTGTTCCTCTTGTTCTGAGTCTTCACCCAGGAACCAAGCTCATCTCTGTCCAGATGAAGTCCTTTGACTGGCCCTCCCACCCCTGTGTCCTTAACCACCTCCCTGTGTCAGTGCTGCAGACTCTGGTCTCTGGTCTCTGATTGTAATGTCACAGTCTCTGGAGAGCCTACTCTCCAGTCTCTCTGCGACTCTTCAGACTGAGCAAAAAGCTACCCTCCTTCTTCCAGTTCTTTGATCTGAGAGCAGAGCAGCCCCCCTCCCCACACACACACACTCTTTTCACTTTTAAAACACTCCCCGCAGACCCCACTCCCACCTCCCCCAAACCCCTGTGACTCGGGCGCCTCTTGCTATATGCTCCCCTCCCTCTTTTGCTGCCTTCTGCCTCCCTTTTTCAGTCTACTCTGCTCACAACACAAAGCACATCCAGGCGTACACGTGGGGTTTCAGTCTTTCTCCTGAGGCTGTCCTGTCGCTGCTCCATAGGATGTAACCTGCATCAGTGATGCTCCCCAGTCTAAAGCACTCCTCCACTGTGATGGGAAAGACAGAAGCCTCACCTCACCTCTCCACTCAGAGATCCAGCGTAGAGAGATCCCCTTTAGCCTAATTCCCTCCCTCATATATCATCAGCATGAGACAAGGGCAGAGAGGGAAGCCAATAAAGGAGAGTATAATAGACAGTTTCCAAATGACAGAGGATAGTGTAAAAGGCAGCCAGAGATGTAGAGATGTAGTGGAGAGAGCAGCCACTGGTGAAAGAGGTCCACACCGTGCTGAGAGTAAATGAAGGTGGGTGGGGAAGAGGGAGGGGAAAGAGCGATGGAAATGCAGCAGGCGAGTGCAGACCGCGCCTATCGATGCCGGCTGCAACAGCAAAGGCAGTGTGGGATGTGAGTAAATATACCTCACCTCACTTAATGGATGGGGTGTGCATGTGTGATTGTGCACATCTGATTTAGATCCATGGTAGCTATCGTGTTTACAGACACCTGTGCTCCAGACTGGGATTTTTTCTAATCAGTTTTTACCATTAATAATTTAGACAGAAAGAGTCTTAGCGTGGCTTTTGTCTTGTGTGTTCAAGAGAGAGCATCAGATAAAGATAAGTAATGGGAAGGAGATACAAAGAAAGTCAGAAATCATGTAATCATACAAATGAAAGCAAGCCTCAGTACAATCAACCAGCTCTGCATTAATATTGTGAAAATGTAATTATCTCCATTGTGAGCAAATGTATATACATGTTCATGTGTCTGTGGTGTACAAAGCCAAATCAAAGGGCAGGTATTATTCATAGGGAAGAACTAAGAATGAATTAAAAATTCACATTTTACTCACAAGATCTTTGAACATACTGTCTTTTTTTAGCTTAAAAGTCCAGGGTGTACCAGGAGGATTTATTGGCAGAAAGGAATATAATATTCCTAGATATGTTTTCATTAGTGTATAATCACATTAAAAAAGAATAGTTGTTTTTTGTTACCTTAGAATGAGATGTTTTTATCTTCTTCTGCAAAGTCTGCTAGGTGTCTACCAGGGGTGTTTCCTGGATTTGAGGACATTCAGGACTTCTATAGGGGTTCCATGGAGATCCTCCCCCAGACATTTTTATTTGGTAAACCCCCTCTAAATTTAAATAATTTTTCTGTGTATTCTGGCACCTTATTTGCATTAAAAATACATTACACATTTAATCTAACTTTTAACTTTAAAAATATTAGTAGTTGTTAGTAATTACCATTAGTATTAACACACTCACTATTTTTTTTAGTGTATTGGAATGTAACATTTTCTTTCACACACTTACTCTCACACACATGCAAAGCAGAGAGAGGGATGGAGTTATTTTCCTTATTAAACAGAAAAATACAATCATACACCTTATGAATTTCAATTTCTCTCTTTCATGGAACTAAATATAATAAAAAGATTTGAGTTGTTAATGGTCCACTGTGATGTATTGCATCTAGCAATGTAGCTGCATGAGCTACTGGTGTGGTTTTACACCAGGTGTGCGTGACAACGTGTGTTAGATGTAACAACATCTACCACAGAGAACAACAATGTCGGATGCTAAAGAGGTTAGCGTGGTGGTTGAGCCAATCTCATTTGTGAAGTATTTATTTGAAAGAGCCTGTCCTTTCTGAAACAGTGTCCAACAACTGGTCAGGTGGAACATGTTAGTGTTTTGTTTTTTGTTTTAGCGTTTTTTGCATCAAAATAAGTTTGAATCAAATTGTAATTTTCCAAGTAAAACTCTTCAGCACCTCTTTATTCTTTGGTATTGAACATTTTTGACTATCCAACAAATTTAACATCTAACCCCACAACCAAAAGTAAAAATCCAAAAAACAAAACAAATCACTCAATTTCCATCTGTGTGTTGGCACAGACATTATTTCCTAAGTAATCATTGTTGCTCTCACTATGCATTAAAATGCATACATTTATACTATAGACAAATTTTATAGTCTACACAGCCTGCCTACACGCTTGCAAAGCGAATGGTTTTCAGGTGGTTACAATTTGTGACTGCTACTAAATCCTACACACTGGTCCTTTAATGAGAAATCACATGCTTATTCTTAAAATATATTATGGTTCACACAGTAGTGACTAATATGAATGATGCAGACTCACAAATCACGACATTCTGACATAAAATGTTTTTATTCTGAATATGTTTTCTTACCACACTAACACCCAGTCCGTCATAACTTCCTCTTGCAGTCTGTGGTTGCAGTCACTTATAAGGAAGTAAAGAAAAATATGCATTCACATTCACAGCATTTTTATTGCTACTATATAAAGATTGTAACTGGAACTTAAGTCCACCACAGTAAACACCAGTACTTGCGATGAGTTTATTGCTGTGGTATGTTGCTTGAGGCCTTTCTTTGGCTGTGATTTGAGCAACAAACACCATACCTGAGATAAAATTACAGTCAAACTTTTTGGCTAAAAGCATTTTCATTCAGCTTTTCACACAATTACATTTATTTACATTTTCTGATACGCCATCAGGTATTGAGACCCACACTATTTTTAACACTTTCAGTTTCAGTCTATACATATGTTGCCCAAGTCAAGTTCTCTTCAGTTAAACTCCTCCCCTCAGTTAGCTGCAGGCACCAGGGGTGTTGCCCAGAGAGCTAGAACAGGAAACTTGCTTGTTTTGCCACAGGTTTGGTACGAACTAAACTCTTGAAAGAAGACGTGAGGGAATATATGGTGAGTGAAAGCCAGTTTTTTGATAATACAACACAAACAAAACATAACTGAATTGTTTAACGTAAGGGTAATGTTTATTGGAAAACGTCTCAGTACCTTTCTAACCTTAAACCTGCTCTTGCTATAATGAGAGTTTAAAAGCAAGGATACAGTGATCAATGTAAGCAGTAGTAACAATGTAGTGTATAAAAACAAATATATAAGCAGTCATTGAACCACTTTATTTAACGTTTTGCAGCTTTTTTCATTTTTCTGTAATTATTTCTATCACAGATTGCTGAGTTCAGCAGGAGATGGCACTGCTGAACTACAAGACTGAGCCTGTTGGTAATGAAAGCTTGGACGAATGGCATTTACTTGGCTCGGGGGGATTTGGTGAAGTCTACAAAGTCAGACACAAGGACTTGGGGTTTGATGTGGCCATTAAGATACTTCATAATGGCGTTTGGTAAATAAATACCATATAAATATCTGCAATCTTTCTTCGCTTGCCATACTTGTCAGATAGTAGCTTTATATCTTTGGCTTTCTCTTAACGTCTTTCTTGTCTTACCTCATTCCAGCCCATTCATTCCAAAAGAGAGAGCACTGCACAAAGAGGCTGATCACATGGAAGAGGCTTCCTGTGAGTTTGTGCTAAGGCTTTATGCACTGTATCATGGATGTCCACCAATTAGAGAAACAGCCTTGCAACAGGGAATAGTGATGGAGTACATGAGAAGAGGATCTGTTCAGTCTCTGCTGGATGACCTGCGTGGCCCTCCACCGTGGCCCCTGACCTTCCGCTTGGCCCATCAAGTGGCTCTTGGCATGAACTTCCTCCATTTAAAGAAACTTATTCACCACGACCTAAAGCCAAGTAATGTACTGCTGAACGATGATCTTCACGCCAAGGTAGAGAACCACCAACCTAAACTCCTATGTTCACAATAAATATAAAGATGATTTTATTCTTTGTTTTATGTAATGTGTCTCTTCTTACTCTGTAGATAGCTGACTTTGGTCTTTGCAGGGTTTCCACCAGTGCTTTGAACAGCAACAGAGAAACAACCGGAGTGGATGGAGGCTCATACAAGTACATGCCTCCTGAGGCTTTTGAGACATCATACAAACCTTGCCGTGCTTTTGACAGATACAGGTTAACATTGAAAACAATACTTATCAATAGGAATACTACTGTATGTATACACATTACTAAATATCTCCTCTCGTTCTCTCTGTTAATCAGCTATGGCATCCTGCTCTGGTCCATTGTTACTGGTAAAGAACCATATCCAAGTATGTGTAGTTTATTTTAGTGTCCTACCATTCTCTTGTTGGCATTTCTGTCTTTTAGTGAATGAAATCACATCTTACCATCTTTTTTAGTTTGTTTGATCTCTGTATTGTTTCCTTCATAACTTATCACTTCATAACTGAACCAAGCACTGTACATATGCTATGTATGTCCAGTTCACATATGTACAGACCCTCAGTTGTGTTTGCATATTTTGATGCATGGCCTCTTTGTGTCACTATACGTACTGTAGTGGCTGATTACAGTCTTGTGGCTCTGAAGATCCCTATGGGGGACAGACCTGACTTGGAGGAAATTGACCAGACAAAGGCAGAAGGCTTGGAAGAGATAGTTAAGCTCATGAAGAGGTGCTGGGATGGGACACCCAGTGCGAGGCCTGAATTTAAAGGTAGATATTTGTTATGTTGTTGTTGCTGTTGTTTTTATTTGTATATATGGCATAACTATATACTTACTATTTACTATTTACTTAAATGGGCTTTTGTAGAGTAGTTTAAAACGTATGAAGAAATACATTAAAATGAAACTTTGCTTCTATTTCAGAGTGCGGTAAAATAACTGAGAATGTGCTCTCAAAGCACAGTAAGGGAACTTGTGATGCAGTCTATCAAGTCTTGAAAGGACTGGTACAACTTATACATTTCATCTCAGATAATGAATATAGTCCTAATTAAACATGATTCATAATTTCTTCTAACTAGTATTTCTTTCTCTGATTTCTAACATGTTCTCCCTCGTTCACTGTAGGAGTCACCGACCAGCAATGAACATTCAGAAACATTCAGTTTTCCTCCTCAGAGACTAGGTAGACTGTTTAATACCATTTGTGGTTTATTTGGCTTTTATGTCTTAGTTATTCCTTACTTGCCACTGTAAAATATGTTGTTTCTTTCTCTTTTTCAGAAACGTCAGAGTCAAATGATGTTGTGGATCATGTCAGATTTACAGCAACTGAAAGGTCTTCCATGCAGGTATGTCAAATGCACTTTGATCTTTGCCTGACAGGAAGTTGAAGACAAATGAAGTAGCTTTATTTAATCAAAGTCATTTTAATCTGGTCCCATTGAATCCTGAGATGAGCAACATTTATACCGTACCGTTTATTGAATATTATTTTGTAAGGGATTGGGCATTGCATTCTTAGTAGTTTATTATCATATTAAACGACACATCATTCAGTAATTTAGACTGGCTTTCTGAAACTAGTGTACAATATATTAGGCAATGTACTTAATGTATAATACATTACACAATATAGACTGAAAAAAGCTTTGTATTTTTGGCAACAGGATTCTGTCAATGTTCCTGCTGAAAGAATGAGTGATGCAGATAAAGGTGAGTACTTTTGTCACTGTACTGATGCTCTATGTTATAACAATTAATTGAAGTTATTTTTTGTTCACATTTCCACGTAAATTTTTTTGTATGAACATGATATTGTAATTTACGAAAGGTCACATTAATATTTGACTTCATTCTACTATTTTCCAACAGCAAAGTTTGTTGATGACAAAAGGACAACATTAATTCAAGACGTTGTTGAAGTAATGGCAGTAGTAGATGAGCTTGATGACATGGTCCACAGTGAAACCTACTCAAGGATCGAAGCTGAAAAGACAAGCCAGAATAAAATGAGAGCGCTGTATAGGAGCACATTGCTTTCAGGAGGGGAGAAGGTCAAAGCAGCCTTCTACGACGCCCTCAAAAAACATCAGCCCCATCTAGTGGAGAGGCTCGGTGAGATTTTAAATACAACACTCAAACATGATAGTTTAACCTATGAGTTATTCAAGTTTTTAATTTCACTTTCATTTCCTTCAGGTGGCTAATTCGAAAGCAACTGTGGCCTTCCTGCATTTTAAGGACAAATGTTAAATGACTCTCCCTGCCCCCCTCTTTTACACTTTCATCTTTTTTAAGAAAAATCCATCTATTTTATTCATTTGTATATATGCAATTTGTTGACATTTTATTACCCTACACTTACTAAATAACTAAACCATTTTTTATTTTATATATTTTAATTAATATCTTTTTCAATAAATAAATTTTTCCAGAAAGTTCTGTCTCCTCACCTTCTCTTCTTTTATACTTGAAAGAGTAACATGACGTGTTGGGTAGGCGTAATGGATTAACTATGAACAAAAAACATATTTGCCATTGTTAATATTATGAAGGGGGGAGAGAGAGAGAGAGAGAGAGAGGAGAGAGAGAAAGAGAGGATTGAGAAGGGAGGGGAAAGAGAGAGACTCGGTAAGAGGCTTTTCTGGTTCAATCCCTCAGTAACTGTCACAAGCAGTCAGTCAGTCACCTGCAGATGATGGTGTCGAGGGCACCCCAGGAAACAAATTGGTCTCTCAGTTTAATGTACAGGTTTGTGGTTCATTACTCTCGAACTGAATAATGGTCCCAACAGTGATTTGATAAAGACAAAACAACTTTTATAAAGACTTTAAAAAACAATAATAGATTTTTTTCCTTTTTTTAAATTGTTGGTGGTAAAATCTAATGTCTCTGTGAGTTTCTTTGAGTGTGTATTTATAAGCCTATTTTGTTATACTATTATTAGAGAACTACTACTAAAATAATATGGACAAGTGCCTCTGTTCCAAAGGAGCAAAGCGTAACAGTATTCTGGGATTTGACCTTTGTCTCATTCACAGCTACGTCTTCTTGAGCTCTGCAAAAAAAAAACCCACACACCTCTACACCATGGTAATCCTCCGAGGGGGAAAGTGTGTTTAAGTGTCATCTTGACCAATCCTTCTCTTCCCCAGTCCTACTGCCTCACTCCACCCTACACACCCATCTCACCCCACCCCATCCTGTATTAATGCTTCCAATCCTCTTTGTGGGAGAGTGACGTCTGCTACTGTCAGAAACAGAGTTAAGCTCAGCAGGCATCGGGAGAACGGAGGGGAGAGAAGCTCCACAGATAACCAAGCAGCACTGCGTTCTGGGCCTCCAGGGGGACGAATCTCTGCTACCTATTAAACAAGACCTGACTCTCCTTCCCAGCGGCTGCTCATGACTCCGGCTAGGGAACGTACAGGTGCAGTCAACTTCATCAACAGGTTAGCTAAAAACTCTGTGTCCCTGTCTGGGGGCCTTAATGGCCTCAAACTCCAAGGATGAGAACTGACAAAGTGGAATACAAACTCTCCTCAGGCAAACAACATTGTTTTAAGGGACTTTTGTTGCTGTTGCTTCTGTATTTTTTAGGATTTTTGAAAACCTGAATTTGTAAAATCTTGTATTTCTTGCCAGTTCTACCTGCTGCACTGGCCACAAAACAGATGGCAAGGCAGCTTCCTCTCATGTCAGGTGTGTCTGAAAGGTTTTTGTGTGAGCATGCACTCAAAGCATTGGGGGTTTATGAGTGCTTATAATTGAACAGCAATTTGAACAGTGTGTTGCCGTGTGTCTGTTGAGAGCTGCTGCTGAGACTTTGTGTGTATGAAACAAGTCAGAAGTGCTTGAATTGTGTGTGTGTGTGTGT